AAAAAAAAAAAAGAACCTGACAAGTTAAATGAGGCAATTCTCTACCTGAGAGAATGAACTTCTCCAGTTCCTTCTCGTTCTCTGGGAGCAGGTAAGTGGACTCATCCTGGCACTCTTCCTCAGGACTATCCTCCTCATCTTCTAAGGACGGTATCCTGATATTTCTATAAAGCAACTCAAGTTGTCGTCTTTCCTCATCCTGGACCAGTCGACTGGAGAATGGTACAAGCGTATTTAGAAGCACAATTTTTATAGTGAATCATCATGTCTTAATCATGCAGCTTTTTGCCAAGAAAAGAGTCACCTATAGGAGATGGTAGGGGAGAGGTAGGGGAAAGGTGAGGGGTGGGAGGCAGAAATAGACTTTTAAACCAAACTGCTCATAGTCAGAGCTCACCCTTCTGTGCTGCCAGGCCATTTTCTGGAGTAAAGAGTAACCCTGATAAGTTCAGAGCATGGACCAAAGCCAGGACTGGTAGCGAATGAGGTGCTCACATAGGTACAAGATTTACAGGGTTGACAAAAAACTCCATGATCAAGACAAATCATATTTCAATGTAATATTTTACCAAAGAAAATTAATGCTAAGAAATCCACGATGAACAAAACATCAACATTGGAAATAAAAACAGGACAAACATTGCTAATTTATCCTTTTGCAGACTCTAATACAACTTGGCCCAGCACTGTTACTGATCCCATACTTGAAAGATTATTCTGTTCGTTGTGGATATTTTCGGGCATTAACCTAAAATTAAAAAAATACTGGATAGGGCCAGGCGCAGTGGCTCACACCTGTAATCCTGGCATTCTGGGAGGCAGAGATCCCCTGAGCTCACACGTTCAAGACCAGCCTGAGCAAGAGTGAGACCTCATCTCTAAAAATAGCCAGGCATTGTGGCAGGCACCTGTAGTCCCAGCTACTCAGGAGGTTGAGGCAAGAGGATTGCTTGAACCCAAGAGTTTGAGGTTGCTGTGAGCTGTGACATCATGGCATTCTACGCAAGGCAACAAAGTGAGACTCTGTCCCCAAAATAAAAAAAGTTACTAGCTAAAAATCCATTTATATTGACTACTGAGGTTTTTTGATACTCCCTTAAATTTTGCACTTACATGAAGGCCTCACTCACCTTTCTGGAGGTAGCAGGTCTGTGCCTGAAAATAGATTGTTGAACAGCTGTTTCTGTTTGACATGGAAGTGGATGAGAGAATGTTTTACTTTTTTCCTAACATATTTCCCTTCCTAGTTCTGTGTGACTTATGTAATAATAAAAATATATATATATGGTTTTTGTTTTTTATTAATATTATTATTATTATTTTGAGACAGAGCCTCAAGCTGTCACCCTGGGTAGAGTGCTGTGGCATTACAGCTCACAGCAACCTCCAATTCCTGGGCTCAAGCGATTCTGCTACCTCTGCCTCCCAAGTAGCTGGGACTACAGGCACCCGCCACAACGCCCGGCTATTTTTTGGTTGCAGGTGTCATTGTTGTTTGGTGGTCTGGGCTGGATTCCAACCCTCCAGCTCAGATGTATGTGGCTGGCACCTTAGCTGCTTGAGCCACAGACACCGAGCCTTTATTTATTTATTTTTTGATACAGAGTCTCCCTGTATTGCCCTTGGAAGAGTGCTATGGCATCACAGCTCACAGCAACCTGAAACTCTTGGGCTTAAGCGATTCTCTTGCCTCAGCCTCCCAAATAGCTGGGACTACAGGTGCCTACCACATCATCTGGTTATTTTTGGTTGCAGTTGTCATTGTTGTTTTAACTGGCCCGGATTCGAACCTGCCAGCCTTGGTGTATGTGGCCAGCTCCCTACCCACTGAGCTATGGGCACTGCCCCCCCCCAAAATATGTATATATTTTTGAGACAGAGTCTCACTATGTCACCCTTGGAAGAGTGCTATGGTATCACAGCTCACAGCAACCTCAAACTTTTGGGCTTAAGCCATTCTCTTGCCTCAGCCTCACAAGTAACTGGGACTACAGGCGCCCACCACAACGCCCGATTATTTTTTTTGTTGCAGTTGTCATTGTTGTTTTAGCTGGCCTGGGTCGGGTTTGAACCCGCCAGCCCCAGCGTTATGTGGCTGGCATCCTACCCACCGAGCTCCGGGCACCACCATAATAAAAAAGATTTTTAGGGTTAGCTTATGTGTGTTCCAAAAGGTGGAGATGGAAAAAAGCGTGTGTGTCAGGCACATTCCAGAGCTTGTGAGGCAGCAGGAACTGGCCTGGTCAGACATTATTAAGATGATCAAGAGGCCAGATTTGTATGAGGAGAATAAGGCAGGTGCAGAATGTAAGGAGGTGTCAAAACAATCAGCAGTAAAGATAAATATCTTAACTCAACATTTAACAATAATGGATGCAAGAGTTTAGATAATGACAGGACCCAAGAGTGCCATGCTGAACCATGTGGGAGCCTGAGTCAAAAGAGAAAGTGTTTCATGACCAGCCTGAGCAAGAGCAAGAACCAGTCTCTAAACCAGCTGGGCATTGTGGTAGGCGCCTATAGTCCCAGCTACTTGGGAGGCTGAGGCAAGAGAATTGCTTGAGCCAAGTGTTTGAGGTTGCTATGAGCTATGATACCAGGGCACCCGACTCAGGGTGACAAAGTGAGACTCTGTCTCAAAAAAAAAAGAGAGAGAGAGAAAATGTTGAGTCTTTCTATATATGTTTCTATATATTGTTAAATGTAGGGTGACCAGATGTCACACTTTTGGGGGGACAGTCCTGATTTTTAACAATTTGTCCCGTGTCCTGCGGCATTTTTAAAAAGCCCCCATTTTTGGAAAGAATGCACGAACGGGTGGGAGAACAGGAAGGGAATATATGGTTTTTGGCTGCCATGTGGCTGTTTCACCAGGATATGAGTTTTATATTATTTTTGTTAATTTTATAATGTTAAACTGTAATAATAACAAATAATTGTTGAGAAGTGATTATCCAGAACTGCTTATCAAAGTTTGCATTGTTGTCAGGCCCTGCCCCTGTCCCCCATCCCCCTAATGGTGTCCCGCTTTACCAATGTTAAAATCTGGTCACCTTAGTTAAATGCTCAGTCTTCTTCTTCTTCTTCTTCTTTTTTTTTTTAAAGAAAATCTCAGGCAGTGCCTGTGGCTCACTGAGTAGGGCACTGGCCCCATATACCAAGGGTGGTGGGTTTGAACCCAGCCCCAGCCAAACTACAACAATAACAAAAAAATAGCTGGGTGTTGGGACAGTCATCCATAATCTCAGCTACTTGGGAGGCTCAGGCAAGAGAATCACCTAAGCCCAAAAGCTGGAGGTTGCTGTGAGCTGTAACGCCACAGAACTCTACTGAGTTCTGGGTAGAGTGCTGCAGTGCTACAGCTCACAGCAACCTCAAATTCTTTTTTTTTTTTTTTTAAGACAGAGTCTCACTTGGTCACCCTTGGTAGAGTGCTATGGTGTTATAGCTCACAGCAACCTCAAATTCTTGGGTTCAAACGATCCTCTTGCCTCAGCCTCTGAAGTATCTGACACTACAGGTGCCCACTACAATGCCTGGCTATTTTTCTTTCTCTCTCTCTCTTTTTTTTTTTTTTTAAGAGATGGGGTCTCACTCTGGCTCAGGCTGGTCTTGAACCTGTGAGCTCAGATATTCCACCTGTCGTGGCCTCCCAAATGCTGGGATTACAGGTGTGAGCCAACATGTCCAGTCGCAACCTCAAAACTCTTGGGCTCAAGCAATTCTCTTGCCTCAGCCTCCCCAGTAGCTGAGACTAGAGGTGCCTGCCATGACACCTTCTATTTTTAATAGAAATGGAGTCTTGCTCTTGCTCAGGCTGGTCTCAGAACTCCTCAGCTCAAGGATCCACCTGCCTCAGCCTCTCCAGAGTACTAGGATTATAGGCATGAACCATTGAGCCTGGCCTCTGCTTTGCATTGTTAAGATTCCTTCCAAAGTATCAAGCTAATTTTAGAATACTCCATTTCAGGAAGGTGCCAGCATCTCAAACAGTGTCTTTCAAACATTTTTGACCATGACCCACGGTGAGAAATACGTTTTATTTTACAACCATGTCTGTGTATTTGTCTTGTGAGTTTTTGTCTGAAAAGTTTAAAAATGAGCCTCTACTTTAAATAATGCGTTCTGATATTTTTCATTCTGCAAAATTATGTTCTGTGCTTTCTATTTTTTAAATCCAACATGAATACAATCCACATTTTAAAAAACACTGGTCTAGAAAGTTATAGACTATAATAATTCAGCAATTATATTATCATAATCATCATCTTTTGACACTAAATAATAACTTAGTAGATTAGTATGTCTTTTTTAAGGACAGTAGATGCTATTTAGCACACACTTACTATATCATATAGGAGATCACAGTCCCACATATCAGGGCAATGCTGAAGGCTATACTTGCAATTACAATTACTTGAATAAGAGCAGGTCTATGTGGAATCATTGCTAAAAATGGGGGGAAAAAGTTGTCAAAAATTTTCATTTTAGCCACTTCTATTTGCTAAGCACATTGTTGTTACAAAAGGAAGTAGGAGACAAAATCAGAAATACATTTAATACCTTTAAAATACCATGCTTAATTTTTAAAAATACTGGTTAGTCTGCACAGTTGTTTGCATTCCCAACAACCCCTGACTCCCTTTTTTGTCTGCCTCCTGTCCTCATTCAAAGCCCTGTCTTTCAGAAATATTAGACCCCCTGAAACTGGATGGCAATATCCAATATTTAGGCAGTTGAAGCTGAAAAGCAAGTGGCCTTTATCTTAAGATTTAAGGTGGGCGGTTCTGTCATGAAAGATATTGAAGGGAAATTTAGGACAGAATTCCATGAACCTGCATTCCAGGAGTCTGACTTTAGGCCTAGAGGATGTGCTAAGAAACCATGGCTGTGCTTTGTAGGCTCAGGCATATCATCGTTCTTCGTATTATCTGAAATTAAAAAAAAGAACCAGTTATTAATTGAACAAAAGGACAATTGGCAAAGCAAGTTACTCCTTTTTTTCACGCTCGTCCTGCCTTCACTTTCTCTTCCTTCCTAGAGCAGGATGAAGAATTTAGCCAACTGAGCTGAAACTTGCCCTGAGGCACAAATCGCTTATTGACACAAAAACTACCTGGCTGTGAAAAACTTAGGAGTATGTAATGATTAATTGTAGATTTTAGGTGTGAGGTATAATGGGTGTTCACTCTACAGTTCTATCAGCATTTCTGTATGTTTAAAAAAAAATTTTTTTTTTCGCAGTTTTTAACCAGGGCTGGGTCTGAACCTGCCACCTCCGGCATATGCAGCTGGCGCCCTACTCCTTTGAGCCACAGGCACTGCCCTAAATTTTTATAATGAAATATTGTAAAAAAAAAAAAAAAAAAAGAACATGGGTTATGGATGTTTTAGGTATGATGAGAATTGAAAATTGATCATGGGATTGAGTGCTGGGAGATCATTAGGGACCCAGGCAAGGGTAGTATTAGCATGGGGGTGGGGGGAGGCGGGTAAGGAATGCAGGCTTGACTGAAACCGATTCAAAAGAGAATGAGAGGAAAGGGACTAGGGATGGTGAGTTTTGAAATAATTTTGAGGAGCTTTGTGTAAAAGGGAAAAAAGACATGGTTGTAGCTCCTGGAAGGAGCTGAGGGCTCAAGAGGTAGATTTTGGTTTTTCAGATGGGAAAATTGACACCATTTTCATAAGAGAATGAAAATGAGACAATAAATCATGATATGGCAATGTCAGAATGTTAGGGTTGCTATCACAAAATACCATAAACTGGGTGGCTTCTGAAGAATAGAAATCTATTTCTCACAGTTCTGGAGGCTGGGCAGTATAAGAGCAAGGAGCTAGCATTCAGTATATGGTGAGGGCCCCACTCATGGCTACAACAGATGTTGTCTTCTTGCTGTGCCATCACACAGTGGAAGGGGTGAGCTAGCTCTCAGGGTCCTCTTTAATAAGGGCATGAATTGCAATCAAGAGGGCTCTACCTTCCTGACCTAATCACCTTCCAAAGGTCCCACCTTCTTTTTTTTTTTTTTT